ATCACTGGAATGCAAAGGGCACCAGGAGACTGATCAGTGAGCAGCCCTGAATTATGGAGCGACTCCATAATCCTTATCTGGAGCCCAAGATTAAATTCTTTCATAATTAGGATACTTGCCAGTCAGCTTGGAGTTACAGAGCCCTGGCAGTGCAGTCTCAGATGAGGAACTGGCACATTCAGCCCTTGGAGGGGACAGGGAATGCAGTGCATTGGGTATCCCTCGGGGGTTATGGCTCTGGGAGGCAAAAGCATGACTGATTTTTTTACCAATGTCCTGTTGCATCACTCAGAAAGGCGCCTAGGGTTCTCCTTGTGCCAGCACATGGTGGTTGGGAGCACCAGGTTAACTTTTACACAGCCTCTCTCCCTTGGGTTTGAACAGGGAGTTTCAGGAACCAGCCAAGAACTGGCAGAAACTTACCCTGTCCCAAAAAACTTACCTCTGGCTTTTGGAGATTCTCGTCAAGCAGCTCCTTCCTCCTGCACCCTTTTACTTTAAAGTAGACTTGGATTTGTGGAAGAAGAGCTCAGAGGGAAACCACACTGGCTTTTCCCACTGGTTCTCTGAGCAATCCAAGCAACCAGGATCTCCTGAGAAGGTGGGGAGTGTGTGGGGCAGTGTTTGTGCTGGGGAGGTTATTTCACTTCTGGGCTTCAGTTCTTTGGCTCACTATTCCTACCCACTTGGAGATAAAGGATTAGGATCATTTCTGTTTCCCATGGCAGAATATTTTCCATCTCTGGGAGGTTCCAGCCCAATTATTTGAGGGGGAAAAAAAAAAAAAGCAAACAGAGCTTTGGAGTAATATTCCAAGGCAAATCTCCAGACTCCACTGTTTAAGTCACCCCCTTTCTGTTGGGTTTGAGATCAGGAGAGGCCCTTGGACATTTGGGGCAAGCACTGGCCCTTGCCCAACAGTTTGGTATGAGGTCAATTTGTCCTTCTGACTCTGACCCCTTTCTGCAGCGGGTTCAAGCACTGCTGAAGGCCTTGGGGCAAAAAGAGCCTGTGTTTGGTAAATCCATCAGTGAACTCTTTGGGTGCAAGGTACTGCAGAAGTGTGAAGTGGTCCAACAGTTTAATGTATTTTTCAAAACTTTTATTGGACATTTTTTATTTTTGTTGTGTTGTTTAAAGCAGCTGCAGATTTCAGAATGATTCTCTTTTGCTGCGATGGTAAATTCCTAAACAGTGGAGAATGGGAACATTGCTGTTCCTGGGGCAGGATTTTCTCCTAGAGCTGAGATTCCGCTTTCTCAACATCCAGTGTTTGCTGTTCACAGTAAACAACCAAGAGCAGGAGAAACAGGAGTGTCTGATGAGGACAAAGGTGTCCCTGGCTTTGTTCAGTTGTGTTGGTTGAAAGACAATGGTGAGATTTTTCAGTAACACCATAAGGTGTCCCTAAAATAGAGCTGGGGTGAGAGGCCAGGGACAGAGAGGCTGCAGAGTGCCTCAGGCACAGCCACTTCCTTGGAAGTGGAAGGATCAAATTGATTTATTTCCAGGCTTTATTTGTTGTTGGTAGAGAAAACATCATTTGACTGTTCCAAATTGTGGAAAACACCTAAGAGCACAATATTGTGTTTGCATCCTTTGCTCAGGGACTGGCCATACTCAAGGTCTTTAATGCAATGAAGTACAAGAAAATTGCCTGGGAGTGACATGGATTAAATCCTCCCATCCTTCCTGTGCAGTGCAACTGTGCTGTAGGAGATAGTCCCAGTCTTCTGGAAACTCCATATTCTCCAGTCCTGGTGCTCTAACAAGTTGTAAAAGCCTGAATGATGCCTCAAAAAGCATTTCCTAGTTTTCATCTTCTTTTTCTGTAAAAAAAAAACCCACCCAGTCTCTCCTGATCACAGTTTTATTTCTCCACTCTGTTCTGTATCAGTTTGGAGTCATTATATTTAATGCAGCTGTGAACTTGGGAGATGTGTGGGGTTTTTATACTTCAATCCATAGCTGAGGGAAAAATGTATTTGAAACCTGTAGCTGTTTGAGAGAACAGAAACTGCCTTAGTTGGCTTTGGAAATAATCTTGCTGGGTTATTCATCTGGTGGGTCAGGCTGTGGAGGCTGTGCAAAGAGATCTTCAGACACACCTGAGGCAGACATGGACTGCATTCCCTGCTGCTGGAGCGGGGGAAGGAGGAAAGAGTTCTGCAGTGAACAGGGGCTCATTAGGGATTTTGGAACTGCTAAATTTAATTCCTGCCCTGCCACAGACTCCCAGTGAGTCTGGGTGTTGAAGAACTGTTTTTGTGAGTGATTAACCCCATCCTGAAATATGGGACATAGAGCCCTTCCTTGGTCCAGGCCTCTTGGAAAATACATCAATAAAGTTTTACAGCATGTGATATCTGTGCTGAGTGCTGTAAAACTCTTAGATACCCTGGAGAGTCACATTCCTCCCTCACAACTGACAATGGAAGGGTCCCAGGATCTCAGAGGAGAAGGATGGGTTGGGAGGTAACTCACAGGAAAAAGGAAAGTGCAAATGTCCATAAACCCTTCCTTGGGGTCAGATTGGCTCCCTGGCCAGAGAGATTTTCTTTGGAAAGCCTGAGCACCTTCTGTTGGGGTATTCTGAGCCAAGGGCACTCTGGGCACACAGGAGCTGTCACAGCCCAGCTCTGTGACAAGCACAAAGCCATCCTGGCCCTTCAGGTTAAGCAGCAGCCACCATCTCTGTGACCTGGCAGCAGGGAGAGGCCTCCTCAGCCCCAGGGGAATCTGCTGACACATCCTGAGGGCCAGGAAAGGGCTGCTGAGACCGAGGGAGAGGGAGAGGAGGAGAGGCACCTTCCCAGCTCAGTGCTGAGTGAGATGATGCTTGGAGAGGCAGTTACTGGGGTCAGGGAGCTTTGGAACCATGTTTGTTTGTCAAGTGCCACAGGTCTCCTTTCTTGTGCAGTGTCTTTGAATCTTTTTCTTTGGCTTTCAAGGGCACAGCTCTTCTGCAGCCTTCACTCCACCTGTGGATCCCCAAGCACATCCCAAAGAGGCAGCCACCAAAACCCCAAACCTCTATTTATATCAAGTCAGAAAGACAGAATATTCCATGGTTTCCCCCAAATCCACCTGCCTTTCCTCACCTTGCATGCTCAGGGGTGTGTGGAAAGGCAGGCTGGTGGAGCTGACTACTCAGTCCCACTCACACACAGGGAATAAAAGGGTGGAGGAAAGATGCCTTTCTCAGGGAAATCTAGGCCCCACCTCAGTCAGAGCCTATCTCAAGTCATTTTTCCTCAGATTGTCAAAGGCCATCTTCTCCTAAGACTTCTCCTTCCTCCATCTTTCCATGAGCACTCAGTGTTCAGCAGCCAATGCTTTTATTCTCTTCAGTGCTGCTGCTTTAATTTCTTTTATTCCTGCACCTCCTTCCCTATGTTGCTCCTGTCTGACAATTAAGAATTTCATTCCCTTGCAGCACTGTAACCTAAAGCAGAATGATGTGGCCCAGAGGAATCTGGGCACAGCAACCTGCTTTATGGGGTGTGGGCCAACAGGCAGCAGAAGAACCAGGTCAGGTTTTTCAGTAATCTCTGTTCAGTATTTTTGGTTGCTTGTTGAGAAGTACAGGACTCATTGTCTGGAAAACAAGAAGATAGGGTTAAGGGAAAAAAAAAATTCTGGGAAGTTGTGGGAGGTTTGCTAAAGAACAGTTGCTCAATTATTCTCCCAATGTGAGAAAACACAGGCATTGGGTTTAAAAGAAACAAAAAAAGTCTGCTTTTACACAGACTCGATGACAGATTCACATCTTTAAACTCCACCTGCCTGTCAGTTTGGTCCTTTCCAGCATCAAATCCCATCCCCATGGAAATTTGTGTGTTTACTGCAGCCAGATCAGCAATTGTTTAAGTGGAAAAAGCCCCCTGGTCAGCAAGGAAAGAAGTTTCTCTAAGTGTTTTATAGTTTTCCCTTCCTTGATGTCTCTGGCAAATTGCTGGACCAGCCAGGAGCACACCAGCTCTGTCAGGAGGGCTGGGAGCTGCTCTGGCAAACCCTGACTCCTGGAGATTGTCACCCCACCCCAGCCTGGCTCCTGTGCAGCAGATCCCAGCCCCTGAATGTCACTGCCTGCCCCGAGTGTGTCATCTGGGCAGAGCTGAACATCAGCAGGGCTGATAAAAACCTCTCTGCAAGGCTGATAATGCACTGACTCACAGCTCCTCATGCAGTAGCCTGTCCTAAAGGAAGGAAGCTTTGTACAGAAGTGACATTTTTATTATCCTGGCCTCGTTTAACCAAAGACAGTAAATGCCAGAGAAACAGAACAGTGCTGTGCCTGTAAGAGGCAATTTCACCCCATGGCTCTCTGTGCTGGAGGGAGCAGGGTTTTACAGGCTGCAGCTGAAATCTCTGGGAGATGTATGAACATAGTTACCATGACCTGGCAGAGATGCTTATGGCTGGCAGCAGTGGCTGTGCACTGCACTGGGAAGAGTTAACCAGGTCCTTCCCCAGTTACCCTGCTCCTCTCAGAGCCTCTTGTCATTTGGGCTAAAGTTCCCCAGGGCAGTAAAAATCATGACAGCAAATTTTCTAGAGGATTCTGGTGCCTGGGATCTCACAGACCATCCACATCCATATCACAAATTTTACTGTTGAGGAATTAAGGCAGAAGGAAGAGCAGTGATTTGCTCAGAATTAGAAAGCCCTGGGATCATTTGGAGCAGAAAGCTGGACAGTGTGCAGCCATCCAAAGCTGTGCTCACACTGCTAACCAGGAGCATGCTGTTTAAAGACTGCAAAGCAAAAATTCATATGCTTAATTATTTTCAATAACCACAGACTGAGGTTGTGCTCTCATACTACAATAGGAAAGTTAAAGATGAAATATTGGTAGGAATTGTAATGCCAATGAAGCTGTCAGTGAACTTCTTATCCAGCAGGAATTTTTCTGCTTTACTGGATCACTTGGAAGGTGTTCCTGAAGGTTTGCAGAGATGTTTCAGCTGAGCTGTTGCTGGAGATCAGTAGCACCACCAGGGATGTTGCCAGCCCTGTGAGTGTTTTAGTTAAAAAGGTTCCTCCGTACTTTCGTTAGTGGGCAGTTCCTCAAACCTGCTCCACCAAGGTGATCTTTCCAAGGATTTAGGATTTTTGGTTTCTTTTCCTCTATTCTGTTCTTTGTACTAAGTTTTAAGATCCTTTTGGTCTCTTTGGTGTGAGTCTAGAACATGTAACCTTCCACTCTAGATTGAAGTTTGGAACTGGATTGTTCTCTCTCCTGTGGTGCCAGCTTCGAATGTACTGTTATAACAAAATTATCTTTAAAACAAGCCTTTTAAAATTGAAAGCAACAGGCAACACTTACCTGGTTTTACATTTAGATTGATGACAAGCTTTTAAGTCCAAATGGAGTAATTTTAGATTAATCAATCAATGCAGACATACATCGAGAGTATTATTTGCGAGAAGGAAGTGAGGAGGTTTTTCACTACCTGATTTCCAGGGGATGGGAGGTTTCTTTCCCTATTAAAGAGGGGGGAAAGTGCGGGATTGTTCTGCCATGTGCTTTCACATGTTGGGAAGTGAGTCAAGCTGTGCCTTTGTCAGTTTTCAGGATCTTGCAGCACTTTGCTCACGTGTAAAGAGACAAACCTCAGAGCCAGGCCAGCGGGTCGGGAGGCTTGCATTGCAGCAGGCAGTGAGAAGCAGCTGAGGATGTGAGTGAATAAACCCCGAGCCAGCTCTCAGGAGGGACAGACACAGAGCAGGGGTGACTCTTGTGTCCAAATCCTGGCTGGAGAAAGGGAACCCACAGCCCTGGGATTGTCTACCCTGTGTGCAGGGTGGGTGGCAAACCCAAATCCCCCTGATTTCCCATCCCAGCAGCAGGAATGGCCATTCCCAGCCCCTGATGGGGCTGCAGGCTCAGCCCTGGCCCGGCCCTGTGAGCAGGGCTGTGGCAGCAGGCAGCACTCAGCCTGGGCTGGCACAGATGGTTGGGCTCCCTGCGGAGCCGAGCCAGCAACAGGCTCCGGCTGCTTCGTTGGAGCACTGATCGATGGTGACTTAGACAAGGGCCACAAGGAGTTCTCTGCCATTATCCAGACTTGGCTGCAGCCAAATGGAAGTGAAAATTTGTTGTTTCATTTATTCATCCTACCTCTGCTTCCTTCCCGCCCACCCTTTGTGCTTTTTAATACCGAAAAGATGGAGCTACTTTGCTCGGTCTTAAAAATTGTCTCTCCCAAGATACTCTTAATTGTATCTCTACACCTTTTCTCATTCACAGGCACATAAGAAGATTAAAGACAGAGGGAACAGTAATAGATTTAGTTAGGTTTTAATGGGATTTGCAGAGGACAATACAGGGAATGAACGCCATAGAAAATATTGCTGCTCTATCTTTGATATCCCTAAGGCTCCTTAGGTAGTCTTTGACAGAGATTTTGTCTGTGCCCTGCATCCAGAGTCAAGACTCTCATTTTTTAAAGGAGTATCTAATCATCTCTGTAAACAGGATGTTACATTGGAACTGGCAGACAGCATTGCCGCCCTCATCTCGTGTTATTTATTTGTATCCTGGTAAGCATTACTCTGAATGTCGACAGTGGGCTTTTTAATAGCTCTGATGCATTCCTAAAAGTGCCCAGTGATTTTGTCTAATGTCAGGTGGAGCAAAGGGGTGAGCCCTGATAGATCTCATTAACAGCAGGCCTGGATTCATAACACCCTCACACGTGGGATTCAAGATTCTCAATTAAATGTTTATTTCACGAATAAACTTCCAGAAGGTGATTCAGCACTCCTGAAACCTGGGTTATCCCTGGAGATTCCTTTCTCTGCTGACTGCAAGGGAAGCCTTCATGCATAATTTAGACTCATGTGAGATTTAGGTAGACAGTGGTGCTCAGCATTTTCTCTCAATTTCTAAGGTTTCTCTTGATATGCACCCAAAACCTGAGGCATGAAAAAGCTCCAGTCCCTCCTGAAAAAATGTTGATGTATTTTTACTTTGTTCTGAGTTGTGATCTTAAGCAAATTTGGTGTGTAAAAAAATCTAAGGACAGAAAGAAAACCCAAAAATGTTCCAAGGTTTAAGCGTTCCACACTCCCACAGTGTCCCCATCACCCCAGTAGTTGCTGATGTTTGAAGGGCCTGTGTGTGATAAATCAGTCCTTAATTCTGGCTCACTGCAGGGCTGTGTTTAACAAGTGGCTGTTGTGGGAGAAGTGTGAACCCTCCAAAATCAATGTCCTGCTGGTCCAGACAGTGAAACAAAATGACTTTTTTCTCTTTGCCTTCTGCCTGAATCTGTCCTTCCTTGTTGCGCAGCCCAGCCATGGCTGGAGATTCCCGGATCTTCATGAACCAGGACATGGACATCGGGGTCACGTCCCGGGAGCCCAAGAAGATCCCCAAGCAGGCTCGGGATGACGTGCCCATCGCCACGGACAGGACCCGGCTCATTGCCGCCGAGGGCAAGAAGCCGCGGCAGCGGTACATGGAGAAGAGCGGCAAGTGCAACGTGCACCACGGCAACGTCCAGGAGACCTACCGGTACCTCAGCGACCTCTTCACCACCCTGGTGGACCTCAAGTGGCGCTTCAACCTGCTGGTCTTCACCATGGTCTACACCATCACCTGGCTGTTCTTTGGGTTCATCTGGTGGCTCATCGCCTACATCCGGGGAGACCTGGACCACCTGGAGGACGAGAACTGGATCCCCTGCGTGGAAAACCTCAGCGGGTTCGTGTCGGCGTTCCTGTTTTCCATCGAGACCGAGACGACCATCGGGTACGGCCACAGGGTCATCACGGAGAAGTGTCCCGAGGGCATCGTGCTGCTCCTGGTCCAGGCCATCCTGGGCTCCATCGTCAACGCCTTCATGGTGGGATGCATGTTCGTCAAGATCAGCCAACCAAAGAAGAGGGCAGAGACCCTCATGTTCTCCAACAACGCCGTCATTTCCATGAGGGACGAGAAGCTCTGCCTCATGTTCCGGGTCGGGGACCTCCGCAATTCCCACATTGTTGAGGCTTCCATTCGAGCCAAACTGATTAAGTCCAAACAGACCAAAGAAGGAGAGTTTATTCCCCTGAATCAAACGGACATCAACGTGGGATTTGACACTGGAGACGACAGGTTGTTCCTGGTGTCCCCTCTCATCATCTCACATGAGATCAATGAGAAAAGCCCCTTCTGGGAGATGTCCCGCACCCAGCTGGAGAAGGAGGAGTTTGAGATTGTGGTCATCCTGGAAGGAATGGTGGAAGCCACAGGTAAGACCTGTCAGCAGTCAGTCACTGTTTTGAGGCGGAAGGGGGCACAAAGCATTGTGAGCAGTTTGGCATTAGGATTTTTAGGATTTCCCTGTCCATGTTACCTGGCCTGGGAACACAGTGAGGCTTGTCCTTGGGTAGCGCCTGACTCACGTGGGCATCTGAGATAAGCAGCAGTGAAAAGTTGGGCCTTTAGCTCATGCTGTAGGTTTCACCCTCTTTTTTGTAGTGCTTCACCCTCTCTTATAAGTCTGGGATTGAAGTGAAGGGGTTAGTCCTGGAGCTGCTCATAATCACTTAGAACTGATCCAGGGGAGAAAGAACCAATGGATTAAAGGAATTCTTGAAGTCTGTGGTGGTCTTGTTTCCTGTGATCAAAAATCATGGTGCAAATCTTCTCCCATTTCTTCCCTGTATTAAAGATAGGCTGTAAGTGTGCTATTTTGGGTACTGCTGTAGTGTTGATTTTAATGGGGGCTATGAAGTGCCCAAGTCTCACTGTATCCCATAAAGCAGCACGTGCTGAGGCTGAATGACTTGCACGTGGTGCAGGACACACATTCCCAGAAGGAGCTCAAAGAGGAAAAATACAGAAACTGCTTTTGTGACTCTTGAAGCCCTGCAGCTGCTTCACAGCTCAGACAAAGCCGGGTAATGGGAGATTAGGAGATATCCTCAGTCCATTCCCAGTTTCTCCTAGGGGTGTGTTTGTGACAGCCGATGAAAGAACTCTGTGTCCATGTATAGTGACTCTGGAAAAGGGATAACCCTCAGCTTTCCCGGGAAAGGCAGCTGAGGGAGGGATGGGCACAGAGGCTCCGTCCCACAGGTATCTCCCCCGGGAGCTCTGGCTGCACCTGCAGTCATTTCCATGGGTCACTTCCCCTCTGCTCCGGGTTTGGGGAGGAGCTGGCAGCTCTTCCTGCTGCACTTGCAGCACAGGGAGTGTGTCCAAGCCCCCGAGATGCTCAGGTGCATTCCAGGCAGGGATGCATCCTGGGGTGGCCAGAATGCCTTGATGGAATCATGGTCTGCAGGGGGAAAGGGCTGCAGGCAGCTCTGAGGAGAGAATTGCTGGCTAAAGATGGACAAGCAAAGTCAGAGATGCAAAAAAAAAAAGCTTTTATAAGCAGTTTTCCCCTTTGGTGTTTCAGGATTGTAGTAATGAGCCCGGAGTTTTCCTGTGGGTGGTGGTTGGAGTTTGTTTTCCATCTCAGTGAGGTTCTCTGTGAGTCATTAGCAGGAGTTTTCAGCTTGTTACAAGTACTCAGTGGTGTCAGCACCCTGTCTCACAGATTCTGCCCCTTGCTGACTGTTAGTGTTATCCCCTCCTGGAGATCTGCTCATTAGTTACAACAGCCAGAGGAGGAAAAATCTCTCAAATTCCTGCCTCCCAAACCTTTGCTCCCAAAGGCAGCTGTCCAGAGAGGTAATTCAGTGTCCCAGAGTCTCCCTTTAGGTGATCAGCAGTGGTTGACTTCCCCAAACAGAGCTGATGGTGGGAGGTGATGGATAAATTACATTCCACTGGGGCTGCAATATGTGCTGTGGGAGTGGAATTCACCTGGCATGTCCAGGGAAATGCTCTTCCCCAGCAGAGCATTGTAGAGACGTGGCAAAGGAAGGGGTGGGTGGAAAAGACTATCAAAGGCAAGGATTTGTAACAGTGACTTATTCTGCAGCCTAAACATTTATTAGAGGCTGGAGCCTCCTAATCTGAGCGTGGAATGCAGCTCCTTGTTTGTCCAAAGCCTCTTTCCTCGTCACAGAGTGACACTGAGAGTGCTTTGAACCCCTGCTGCTCTGCCTTCCTCCAGCAAGGCTCAGCCTCGCTGGGGATGTGCGAGAGGAAGTCATTATCAATAACAACCTCGCAATTAAAAGCATGGCAGAGGAATAATATTGCCTTACAAATGGGCTCCTGTCCCAGAGGGATTGCACAGGCCAGGCTGTAAGGATATTAAGGAGCATACAGCTGTGGAAATGAATTATCCTGGGCTCACAAGGCAGCCTGGGAAGTCCCAGCCTGGAGCTGGAGGAGGCATTTTGCACAAACTCGGAGCTGAGTGGACTTTGGATGATCCCAGGATCCAGTTTGGAGGCTGGGATGGGTCAGCCAGGGGAGTGGGGTATTTTGAGACAAGAAGAGTGGCTTGCAGAGACAGTGTTTGTGCTTTCCTGCTTCATCCTCACACTTGGGAATATTGATAAAGCAGTTTGGGGTTATTAATCCCTCCCTCCACACCTTAAAATCTGCTCCAAGCAAGTTCTTAAGGTGCTTCCCTGCGTGTGGCACTGCTCAAGCCCCATCTGCTCTCAGGTGTGGTGTGATATTTACTCCCAGCAGGACTCTGTTAAATCCTGACACTGTCACAGCCCGCTCGGGTTCAGGGCAGTGTAAAATACAACAGAGCATTTGTTCCCTTAGCAACCCCTACGGAAAATGAGGACTCCACCCCCCAGAGTTCAGAGGTATACAGCTCTGTTTTCCATAAGGTCTTTGGAAAGCAGGTCAGAAATGTGATTGGCAACATATCAATGACCACAGAAATGGAAGCACAACTAAAAGTGGGGATATTTTTCACTGATAATTTGGGACAGTGATTTTATAGCTATTTTCAGTAGATTTAACCAGGCACACACATATTACAAATGTAATGTATTGTCTCCTCTCAAACAAGCCGTTCTATTTACTGACATTTAAGTTTAATTCTGACCCAGTGCAAGGCAAAGATGGTAAATAGCTTCAAATGAAAAGTGTAGAATAAATTCTGAGGAGTTCAGACCCTTCAAGTCATTGGGTTTTTTACAAAGTGAAACGCTGTGACATAAAACAAAGATTTTGTGTTTCAAGTTATCTTGGTTTTTCAAAGGTCTGAGTAACAGCACACTGAAGAACAGCAGCTCACCAGCCAGCCTGAAATGCAGTGGGTTTATTTGGCTGAAAAAGATAAAAAAGCTGGTGTTACTGCAGTGAGAGCTGTGTGGCACCCAGGGCTGCTGCACTGAGGGACCCCCAGAGCCTGGCACAGCCCCAGGCTTTTCCCATTTGTGTTTGGGATGGGTGATGGGGCTCCACGAGAGGGGGGAGAAGGCCAAAGGGAGAGTGAATTTCTGGGCAGATCTGTTGTAGTCACTGCCAGCTGAAACGAGCTCTGTGAAGACAAAATCAATCTTGCTGACAAGTGTTCTGACTCCCAGGGGGCTCCGTGGGCATCTGGGGGCAGCAGCATCACCCCCAGTGCTCCTGGTGAGCTGGGCACAGGCATTCCTTCAGGGAATCCTTTATCTCTGCCTTATCACAAAGGGACTCTTGTCAACATCAGCTGCCCCGAATCTGACTTGCAATAGAAGGGATCAAAGCAAAGATGGAAAATCTGTTTGCACAGTGAATACATTTTTGCTTTCCCTGACTCTCTGCTCCCCAAAATCTCAGGGCCAGCCTGGTGAAGGACAGCTCCTGCTGCTGGCCAGAGCTCCTGCCCTTGCCCCAAACTGGGCAGTGTTTAAAAGCTGCTGGGACAGGGCAGGTGCAGGCCCCCCTTCCCACGTGCTGCAGTCAGCTGGGCTGTGGTGAAGGATTTGGCTCATCTGGTTAGGGAACATTAGCAAGTCCAATTTGTTAAAAGACTGTTTTTCTCTGTAAGCCATCACTGCCTGCGCTGACACACTCTGCATATCCTACAAGACTTCCTGACAGGTAATTTAAAGGGACTGTCTTCTCTCCAGCTTTACCCTCCCTCTGCTGTTTGCTGACAGTTATCCCAATCCTGGATCCAAATCCTGCTTTTTCTGTCGCTTCCTGCTGCCCTGGTTCCCTGGGCACAGCATCCAGCACTGCTGCTCCCTGGGCACGGAGGCAGCAGAGCTTGTTACTCCACTCCTGGTCCTCCCTGGTTTTCATTGCCTCTTTTTCCCAGCACAATTAAATAAGGCACAAGAAACACTCCAGATGCCCGATTAGTCCAGTCAGTAAATGAAGTTTTAATGAACTCTTATGTAAGTACAGGTATGTATTTTTCTGGCTTAGAGTCAGTGTGATAAAAAGGGATTTAATGATTAGAAGTAATTAACCCATCCTGTCCCTGTGGGAGTGTAGGCAAACAGCAGAGTTTCACACCTCAATTCATCCACCTTTGCAGAGGACAGAGTGCAGTTTCCTGGCTGTAAATGGAGTAGTCACAACAAAAGATATGCTGAAATTAATCATGATTTTCATGGGAGCACAAAGGAAGGGTGAAATTACTGAATGGAGTTTCTGGACATTCATCATCTGGTTTGGGTTGTCTTGTGTTGCTTTGCATTTTGCATATAAATAAGTTTTCTGCAAGGAATGTCTTGCAGAAGTGTTACAGACACTGCCTAAAAAATGATAGGAAGAGATGTCTCAGGTCACTGTGTTCATGAGCTGGGCTGTCCTCTGGAGGCAGAGGCTGGCACTGGTGTCTGAGGTGCCTCTGCAGTCCCTGTAAACCCTACAGGAGTTACCTGGTGAGAGCTTGGCTGGGCCTGCTGGAGACATGGCAATTGAATCCAAGGTCTTTACATCATAAAGTCCTTTTATTATATTTTTTCCCAGTGCCTAAGAGCTTTTCCATGCCTGGAGAGCATTCAGATAAATTAAAATCCTATTACTCTTCTCTGGCATAAATATCAAAGTGAATCAAGCCCAGCCATGTCCTCTAAAGGAGACAAGCACAAGTAATTGGAGGACCATGCTCCTACCTTCTAATATTCCTTTTCAAGCTGGAAGAATATTGACTTTTTGGATGTTACAGTGTTCTTTGGTCTAATTAACACAGAGGGACTAATAACTTTTATAACTTACCATATGCTAATGCAAATTGAAAGACACATATTGCTTAATTACAGCAATAGAACTTTAATTTTTTATACCTTTTCCTTGCCACCCATAAACTTCCATCACTGGCACTGCACGTCCGAGTCCATCAGCTCCTGGGCAGTGAGTGTCCCACAGCTTCAGAGCATCCAGGAGGAGA